GTACTCCCGGTACTAGTTACTCTGGTGGTACTATGTGGCTAGGATGATGAACGGAGGGATAACCCAGCCAAGGGCGTTGACTCCCTGGATCATAGTCGCCTACTCCCGATTACTAGGCTGAGCTAGTTTTGCCTTGCCACGCCCATCCGAGGTCGTAACCACTATACCTGCGAAGATAACACCCATTATAAACCCAGTCTTATCAAAGTTGTAGACATCGTCATCGACAATCCTATATTTAGCCCTAGTATTCCATATAAGTGCAAACCACTCGCTGATGACCTGTAGATCCTCGTATTTAGCCCTCTGGTAGTCGTACTTATATATATACCGTGTACGGAGCTCTGGCTGGCGTTTGACAAAGTTATGAGCCCAGCGTTTGCCGACAGGGGGCGCGTCGCGTTCGCATAGTAGGTGGTTGGCCATATCTTCCACACCACTTAATCTAGGTGGGAATGCGCGTGTAGATAGCTCAGTTATATACTGAACTATTGACTTCTCTTCTAGATCCGTGAGCTTACGCGAGTTGGCTAGAATATCGCGTCTTGTAGCACGTCCCTTGCGCCGGTGGCGAATCGTTGCTTCTGGAACGTTGTATAGCTTGGCTACCGCCCGGATACTAAGATTCTCGCTCTGTTTGATAGCTTCGAGGGCTAAAAGAAGCCTGGCTTCTTTTGAGGGGCTACGCATGGCTTGTTGCGGTGGTATTTGGTGGAAAAGTTTAGAGGAGGCGCGTCGCACTGAAAGTGCGTCGCTCGCTTATCTGCGTCGCTCGCTTATCATGTACGTTATATATCTTATGTTTATAATGCTCTTAGAGCTTTGCTTATATATAGATTAAGCAATCCTGGCTCTTGCACTATCGAGTGCTATTGGGCCACCGCTGGCAGTCTTCTGGCTAGGTTCTTCGCAGTATCACCCTAATTCTATCATATACATTAGTCCTTTCGACCTCCTATAGGAACTAGTCGGTGCCGGTCCCTATATCCCAAACCCATATAACTAGTCGGGGTTCTCCGTTTCGGTTGGTAGGCCTATCGGGCTAAAAGTCGTTGTCAAATTTTGATCGAAAATAGTATCGGCATTTGTATACAATATACTAGAACCATAGGATATAGACGTAGTTATATCGCTAGGGTTAGAGTCAAAGTGCGTCTTGTTCGTAGGGTTCGTAACGCGGGCCGAATCTAATCCAAATACGTACCGCATTGCTATCCCCAACGCCGTTATACGGCTTCTTATTCCAAAAAGTGTCCTAATCTTATAGTTCCTGCCCCTTAAGTCTTCGCTGGTTCTAGGCCTTCTGGTATTCAGCCTTGGGGTTCTTAATTCCACCATTTCTCCTATCCTGGCCTTGGTCCTATACCGGTCCATTCTACAAGTTTAAATAGTGTTCTTCCTAGACCCTAACCAACTTGGCCTTGACAAATTCCAGCTGGCTTATAGCCTGAGCCTTTTCTTCTACGAGTCTTTAGGTAACTGTTCGAAGTTCGGCTTGTTCCTCCTTAACCTCCTGAAGGCGTTAAGCGAGAAAGATAGGGTTCGGGCCAATAGGTTCGTTATCCGCTTATTATATTCTCTATTGACCTTCTTCGTTTTAGGTCAGCTGGAATCCCCAATCTTCTATGAGTTGCAATGCCGTAGCAGCAGCAATATTATAGCCTATAATAGGCTCTTCGAACGTAATATAGGGACTATTGCTTCCTGACCAGGAGGAATTATCAATACTTCCTTTGGCTATGCCCCGGTCAACTATATCGTTAAAGTCATCCTCGGTATAGCTTGCTATAGCTACTTCAACTATATAGGTTGACTTGTCGATTATAGCGTTTTCCTTACCGGGCACCTGCTTCTAGTCCTTTTTGCTATAGCACTCTTACTTAAAGTGTCCTTTCTTACTACAGTTGAAATAGGTGGCTTAGGACTTGTCCTTCTATCCCTTTTCTTTACGCTAGGTGGCGTCTATATCTATCGGTCTAGTATAGATGCTATACAATATACTAGGATATTATCGCTTTTTCTTGTCGTTGGCCTTAATAAATATAGGCTATATTCTATATCCTTTATACTACTGGCGCCTAGTATAAATTCGGTCGTCAATGCAGATAGCTATAGCGATATATTCGTCAAGCGTATCGGGTCGGTCCTTTTAATATAGTTCGTCCTTGACTTCTTCCTTTAAGCCATCGTAGAACAATTACATAAGACCTTCATCGTTAATCTCGCACCGAAGTAAATCCTAGTAGAACTATATAACATAGGTAACCGCTGACTTTGTCTGCCTTAGGCGTACAAGTCGCTCCTATATATAGAACTTCTTATTATAGTCTCCGAACACCTTCTAGATTTCCTGCTTAAATTTATTATACAATTTGAAAATTTCAATAATAAAATCATCCTAAGCATCTATATTATTAGTTAGCTAATCCTTAAGGGTAGGTTCAAACCATCGAAGTACCTTCCCCTCAAGCCGCAAGGAGATAAATATAACTTTGGCGGATTCGTCTATAAATTTATCCGGGTAGTACTTAAGGTAGGCCCTTATAGATATAAGGAATCTAGTAAGTCCTTCTTTATCGCCTCTATACTTAGGGGGTGCTTCGAGTTTAGCTTTGTCCTTGGGCTTGCCGTTATAGGCCTTGTTGACAAGCTACTACATATAGCCATTCTCGGCCTTAAGCTAGGCGATTTTGGCATTGAGAGCCTCGAGAGCCTGCTATATCTATCGCATGGTTACGGCCTAGCTCTGGGATTCCAGGGTGCTAGGTGTCTAGGGCGCCATGATGGTCGGTGGTACCTTCGATCTGAACCGTGACAGAGTCAAAGGGAGTGAGCAACGTATGACGAAACCATAGGCAGTCCTGCCTCTGAAAGGGTTCGCCGGTCGAAGGTAACTGCTGGTCGGACTATAGGTCTCGGTGAAGCCAAAAGGTTCACAACAATGCTTGTCGCAATGTCTGCATAATAGGTATAGGCTATTGCTTGTAATTGCTCACTGAGGAAGCTAGCTATCTGAATGAGTGGCAGAATGGTAGAACTATATACAGCTTCCTCCCCTAGGTATCCCGTACCTAGATCTTTGGAACATTTGGAACAATTGTCGTTCCCATTGTTCCATCTGGAACAACGTTTCTTGGCGTTGTTCCCCAGGAACAATCGTTCTTGGCATTGTTCCTGATTTCCCTAATCCTCATTGGTTCTTTCTTCCTCGTAATGATTGGGTACGGGCGCCGCCCGTTGACCATGCAGGTCGGCCCCCACCGGCCTCTGCAGGTTAGTTCATGACACAAATGTATGGTGTCACCGCTATAAGGAACTTATGGCTCTGAAGGAGTAGTATAGCCGGCCGGAGAGGACGGACGTGCGTGTCGGTCATCCAAGAGGGAGGAAGTATTATGCCTCTTGTGGAGGGCTTAAGGTGCAAACCTTGGAGTCCCGTGGCCTAGTATTGTTATGCTTGGTCCGGTAGAGAGGTTTGGCCTTGCCTCTCTGATTAGATTACCTCTATAAGGCGGATCTTCGCGATTACGTTTAGGTAGCACGTTTGTAGAGTGATAATCTAAGGACTTCAAGGTGGGTTGGCTAATGGACTCGGGCCGGCTAGGAGAATATAGGCTCGCTCGGAACCTCGATGAGGAACTGGAAGCTAGAGAGCCCGGCTAGCCACACCCGTGGCCACGGCTTAGCCGGGCTAGCACCCTACTAGCCGTTGGCCCAAGGCCTTCCCAAGGCCTTTTTCCTTACTTGCAGCAGCGTGTATCACTGAAACCATGTCTTTCCTATTACTTCCGACGAAGGTTTTTACCCGGCCTGAATGGTACGGTTTTTCCTTTGTACATAGCAGTAGAGGGTCCGGCGCGCCTTGTAAATAGCTAGGCACAGCGGAGTAGGAGAATATATATATATTGAATGGTTTGAATAATTAGTTGCTAAGATCTAGCTTTGAGGAGGTGAATTATCCATTTTACACTGCTTTCTTTTTTTCGATTACCCTATGCAAAATTCACAACTACCATAGATAATAAGATACAGCTTGGTAGAGAGGATAGCCTAGGTAAGGCCGTCCCCCTGGGATATATATTATATAGCTGTATATAGTTGTTGTGGTGGAATTTAAATAAGTAGGGTAACTTACCTTAGAAAGACCCGGCTTCTACAACACATTGCGCAACAACCATTTATCATGTAATGATGCGACTATACTTGCAGTGATCCTTAGAATGCTACGGTTCCAACTATATATGATGCACCTATACGAGTGGTAGTTGTGTTGGAATTCAATAAAGTAGGGCAACTTACCTTAGAAAGACCCGACTTCCACAACACATTGCGTAACAACCATTTATCGTACTATAACACGACTATACTTGCAGTGATCCCTGGGATCTTATAGTTCCAACTATATATGATGCACCTCTATGCGAGTGCTAGTTGTGGTAGAATTAAATAAAGTAGGGCAACCTACCTTAGGAAGACCCGACTTCGACGACAGCTTTATCAACAACCATAGGTCGTATCATAATGCGGCCATATTTGCAGTAATCCTTAGGATCTCACGGTTCTAACTATATATAATGCACCTATCTATGTGTGATGGTTGCGGTGGAATTGAATAAGATAGACTGGGCTACCTTCTAATGTTGGTGAAATAAGTCGCGATTTTGTTCGCAACATTCTCAGACCACGTATGCGTGTGGCCTGGGTGTATGTTTGATTGGCTGAAAAAGGCCTCCTGTGGGGCGAAGCCTCACAGGTACAAACACCTAGTGCCAAGTGCAACACGTGTGGCTGAGACTCTGAGACAACCTCTAAGTCGATCTATTAAAAACTAAGTAAAAAGGTAATAGTTGGTGACGTGAGGAAAGGGAAAGAGTAGAGGGCTTGGACGAGTTGATGATTGAAGGTCAACGAATCGGATGTGGTTAGTATGCCAAGGCCCTTTAGGTTTCGTGCCTCTGGGCGAAATAAATTCCAATCCAATCCTATGGCAACGGCGGGACCGACAACAACCAACACTTGGTCACGCATTTCGAGCCCGACGCTCTAAGCGAACGCTGTACGGCGCTGCATCGTCAAGTCTTCATTTTCTTGAGCGCGCAATATAGAATCAACCGAAATCCCCAGGAATATGCCTCCCCAATCTCGGCCGACCTTCGGCACTCTTGTTGGCACATACTTCAAACATAGAAACCGAGACTACCTCGCTCGTCTTTTGCAGATCTGGAGTCCAGCCATGGACGAAGAGGAGGGTACTGCTCTAATAGGCAGCGCACTCCACCGTGCCATCTTCATTGGAGACGAAACCGCGGTTCGAATGATTCTCGACGCCGGGGTGAGCCCAACAGTGCAGGACAGCCAGCTCTACAGCCCTCTCGCAACGGCGGCTGAGGCTGGCCAGCGCGACATTACTCGCTTGCTCTGGGAACTCGTCGGGCCCGACGGGCGGGCCGCCCCCCTTCGGTCGCCCAACTGTCTTGTAGTGGCTGCTGAGAAGGGCCACACAGACCTGGTCGCCGACTTTCTCGACATGTGGGACGGGTGGCCTATGGATGAGAAACGCCAGGCACTATACAGTGCTACAGGTGCCTGGCGGGATGGCGTCGTCAGCGTATTGCTGCCCAAAGTTGCCTACGAAGCCGACACCATCCAGCACGCCCTCGAAGTAGGCGTCACCCAACAACCGATTCTGTCAGTCGCCAGGTGGGGTTCCTTCGTACCTATCACTAAAGACGAGGAAGATCTCCGGCAGCAGCGCGTGGTATGTCACCTCATTGATGCCGGCGCGAATCTAGATGTGCTCGCCAGCGGCGGCAGAATCCCATTGATTCATGCCGCGGCCGAGTGGCGCCATCGACTCGGTGCTCTCAGGGGGCTCCTCGAGAAGGGAGCGGATGCCAACGTACGCGACGGACACGGCAAAACGGCGCTGCATAGGCTCTTTCAGAGACATTCTTCCTCGTCCGCGGACGCTCTACGCATTCTCTTGCAACACGGCGCATCCCCCGAGCTAGCAGACAAGGCAGGGGAAACCGGACTGCACGCCGCCGCGCACACGGGAACGCTCGAGCAGTTCCAGCTCTGCCTCGCGGCCTGTGGAGACGAGGACGCGGCCCTGCGCCTCCACAACTCGTACGACGAGTCCCTCCTCCACTACGCCGCCGCCGGCGGGAGGGAAGACACGGTCAGGTTCCTGCTGAGCCGCGGCCTGGACGCTAACGCGGCCAACGCCAACGGATGGACGCCGCTCATCTGCGCCCTCATGCCGGCCAAAGTCAGGCAGTGCTACCCTCAGTGCTCCCTGGCCAGCCTCCTCCTCGAGCACGGCGCCAGCGCGCAGGCGGTGACGGAGGAGGGCTGGACCGCGCTACATGCGCTAGCGTCGTACCCCAGCGGATACCTGGGCCTGCCGTTCGACAACTGGGACGACGTCACGCCGCTGGTCCGGGAACTCATCGCGCACGGCGCCCCGCTTGATGCCAAGGTGAGCTCGCTCCGGAACCCTGCAGTCTCATACAAAATGTTCGTCTCTCCCAACCCCGACGCGTGGGGGGTCCGGATGCGATCGTTCGCTCGGAACTGGGGAGGCGCCGCATCGTGCTCCTCGGCTGCCGTCAAAACTTTGGGGAATGGTGGTGAGGGCGCAGGCACGACACCGCAGATGTGGGCTCAGCGGAACGGCGCGAACGAGGTGGTCAAGGCGATCCTGGAGCACCAGGCCGAAGCGGCCGGCGAGGCAGAGAGCTGAGGGGAACGCAAGTATATTTCCGACTGCCAGAACCAAGCCCCTTTCCGGCAACCATATTCAAACACACACATATATATATATTGTCCTATCACGCTTTGTACTATGTACATGCGGACCCTCATCGAAGTATATACAGTAGGGAAAACCTTAGCTAAAGCCTAGATAAAAGCCCCCGCTCCCTTATATCCCGTCGCAAGTTCGCAGCGGCCCCCATTCCCCTAACCTAATAGAGCTCACCCCCCATCAAGTCGAATTAAATAAAAACGTAATGTTACAACCAATGTAGCTGCGCGTAGGAAACCGAGACCCATTCTTCCCTTTCCTCAGCGGTCGTTTGCGGAGGAACTGAGGTTGATTCCACAAGATGTATCGAGCCTTCTATATTACGATGTTAGTTTGAGAAACGGATAGACTGGGTGGTTAGCACACCGAATAGAGCCGCAGCACGTTGGGTTGTGTCAAGACCCTTGCAGTATTTGGCGAGCGTCGTGACAAAGTCTCCTTTGTGCCCCTCAGAAGTTATTTTGGCGAGACACTTGACCTCCCTAGGAGTTAAGCGTTGCAAGTCGATCACCGTCGTGTAAAATGGCAGAGTGATCAGTTCACCAAATGGAATGTCTAAATAGCTGTTCCGATGGGTAGCTAAGTAACGACAACTCGGTTCCGGATGATGTCGCCTATCCTTTACAATGGTTTCAAGATCGATTTTAGATGATGGCTGATTTTGCATAGTGGTAAATTCCGGATGATGATCGATCGTGGATGGTGGTCTAGATGATGGCCGATTTGAATGAGCGGCTAGTTTGAACGGTTATCGATTTTGGACAATGGGTCCTTTCCCCTCTTTTATATCCCCACATGGCTATATATGCCCTACCAAACCAAACCCGCTGACTTCCACTGGTCGATTTTGGATGGTTGTTAGTTTTGGACGGGTCTGCCTAATAGATGTAACCCTCTATTATAACCTCTACCAATTATGCTCTCTGTTATAGCATGATACGACAGAGTCCCAAGGCGGCCAAGCGTGAGCGAAATTCGAGGTCGCGAGCGGTATAGGAGAGATTCGAAGCCTGGTGAGGTAGGAAAACTTCTCGCCTACCTTGGCGGTGACACTCTCCCGGCCAAATTGATAGGCGGCTGGCTTTTGACGACTGTCGATGTTGGACGAATGGTCCTTTTCCCCTCTCTTGTTTCCCCGTATGCTGTATTACAGGCAGCCAGCCGCCCTACCAACCTGCCGCTAACTTCTATACAATGCTTCCGTTCTGTTGGTCGATTTTGGACGATTGTCGGTTTTGGACGGATCTATATGGACGCAACCCTCCATTATATCTCTACTAATCATACTCTCTGTCATAGAGGCGCCTTGCACTACGCACATATGCATTAGGCTATGTTTGCGCTGCTGAAACTTGTATGGTTGGGAATATTGATACCTTCACCAAGCAACGCCGCTGAATCTGCAGCCCTAAGCTGCCCTCCATCTGTTGCCTGAACGGAACGGTCGGATCAAACTCACTCAGTGGCTATTAACAAACTGTTCAAGTCAACAAGCTATGAGTTATGTCCTAGTCTATAAATTGGCGGCTTCCATCTTCTTTCTTACCCATTGACTTTCTAACATCACCGCCTCTATATCCCGTACGACGCTCCTGAGCCCACATTCAATGCAATATGTGCCAACTCATTAGGAGGAGGTTCTATTGTAACCATAACTCTGGAGAGCCATCATACTGGCATCCCCCCGAACCCACTGAGTGTCCAGCTGCCGTCGCCGCTGGTGTTTATGATATAAACGGTCAACTACAGCGCTGCACTGGTGATAACAAATCGACAGCCACCTTCCAGGATCATGGCTATTGCCCCAACAACAGCCATTGCCGCAAGAAGGCATTCAAAAAGCGTGGTTGGACGTGCTATGCGTGCAACTCTGCAGTTCCCCCTGGCGGCAATACCTGTGGTAATTCATCCTCAAGCAGCGACATGGTATTATTTGATGTCCTGTGTACCGGTCACACCCTTCATTACCTACAGGCTACGCGGCTCAAATGTAGCGCTGTCACAACAAGCACGAAAATCAAATTCCAGTAATCTCCACGCATGCCTGGTAGCTATTACCAAAATTCCAGGCGCAAGAGCTGGAGCGTGAATATCTTCTGGATCAACACATTTCCCCACCTGAGTGGCATGCTAATCTTGTATTGTACCAGAAACAGAACGATCATGCGTGGAGACTAAGGTACCTGGCCAAGAAAGCCGAGAAAGCTTGATGAGCTTATTTTCATGCCCAGAGCAAAGGATTTACGCTAGGCACAGCACATGGTTCGAACGTCTTGGCAGGAAAGTCGAGACCGTTGACCACCACGTGAATTGTTCTAATCCATACGTCTCGCGGACAAGCCACGTCACTAGACATGTACAGTACATTCATTTTGGCAACTTCCCATCCAGTCTCAGCTCTGATTTCCAAACCCAGTACTTGCTACTAGTACTTAGCTCCTATCAGTCCTATGATGTGCTATCCTACGGATTCCTACAGGGGATCAAGCAAACCCGGCCCCAACAGCAAAGCTCACATCCTCAGTAAAGCTCGCCGCCGCATCAAAGGCGTGCACCCCACCATTGCTCGCCATATACGCAACATTCGCATAATGACGCAGATACCGCGTCGGATAATTCCACGCCCGGATCGAGTGGTTCCCCTGCCCGTTGAGCGGCGCCTGCGGACAAAAGGTCGCGTCCTTGCGCATCTGCTTCGTCCCATCGTCCGCCGCTAGCTGCAGCACAAAGTTGTAGTGCCGCATGTACCGCCCCGCCACGTCCCTCGACTCAAGCGACACGCAGCCGCTGTTGCCGCCGCTGCCATTGAGCGCCGAGCGCACGATCCAGGTGGCTTGCTGTTTCAGCGTGGTGCTAGAGGAAGAGGAGACGGCCTCCGTGACGATGCCGTTGGAGCTGTTGTGTGCGATGTAGCGGTCGGTGTAGCCCGATGTAGTGACGCGCAGGGAGATGGACGAGCCGATGGTGAGGGCTGGGCCGCTGGTTAGCGGGGTAGTGGCGTACTTGGCTGCCGCGATGTCGGCTTGCACGGCGTTCTCGGTCGCGTCGGACGGGTACCCGGAGGTCATTGCGCCCTCGTAGAAGGTGCCCTGGGCGCTGATGCTGTTGTCGCCGGCGATGCCGAGGATGATGGCGCCTTCTTTACGCATCGGGTTGTAGCCGTTGCTGGGTCGCACGCCGCTGTAGAAGGTCGACATGGAGCTGGTGGATGCGGCGTTGGCGCCGCGGATAGCCCACTGGTTGGGCCGTCCCTTGATGGCGGCCGTGGTAAAGCGGTACGAGATCGACAGGTCGCCCGTGTTCTTCTTAGGGTTGACGCCCGAGAAGAGCCCATTCTCGAGATCGGCCATGATCTACGGCCTGCTGCCGGAGCCGGAGCCCTACGAGGTGCAATCGCCGAAGTAGATGGCCTCTATATGGCCGTTACCCGTGTCCAGACTATTGGTCTTGGCGTTGCCGTAGTCGAAGCAGCAGCCGCTGTTGTAGTGCGTTCCGTCGAACACCGTATATGCCCTCGGTAGCATCCCCTATGGCTGTGCTGCTGGCCGTGTCGTTGCGGTAGCCAGTGCCGGGCGAGATAAAGACGCCATATGCCTTCTTGCCGTTGAATGTAATGGGTGCGCCTATCGCGCTGGCCAGGTTGTCGTAGCCGTTGGCTTTGGGACCCTTGAAGCCGCCGGGTGGAGCCTGGGTGAGATGGTTACTGCGGCCGGACTGGTTGTAGATAATGGCGATGAGACAAGTCGTATTGGCGTAGAAGGAGTCTTGGGCTGCGGCATTGGCGACGCGCCCGGCCAAAAGGGGCGAGATGTCGGTCGTTTTGCCGTCCGAGTCTCGTTTTACTTGGTAGAGACGCCCGCTGTAGGCGCTGTACAAGGCACGGGTGGTACTGTGCGCAGCGATGCAGGGCGTGCCGCCTGAAGCGTAGATGTCGCAGGGTCCGGCGGCGACGAGGGTGCCCGCGGCGGCAAGGCCTAGGGTAAATACCCAGGCGCGTTCAAAGCTCGTTGTTGAGAACATGTCAAACACTTGATCGCAGGTTGCTTGGTAAGACCATAGCATATACTCCTGTAGTGTTGTAAGCCGCCCCTTTATAGAACCATGGCATACCACGGACCTATCCCGAGCAGATGAAGACCGTAGTTGGAGGAATTTTGATTCCGCTTCGGACTGTCCATGTGTTCTTCCGCGTCGTAATCCCACCTTCCCGATCACCACCCTACTCTTTGCCGCCGCGTACCGAGGTATTTAAGCCAGCAATCTTGGAATACAAGGCAAGTACCCTCGCCGTGTTAAGGCGACGGCGCCTGATAAGGCCATATGATCGCAGAAACCTAGTATGCCCTTGAAGTGTCTTCCAGTCTGATGCTACAGTCATCTCACTGTCGGACTGTCCTGGCTCCCAGTGGCCACGGATGGCGGTATACGCAATTAGCCGGGCGATGCTACTCAGGGTGACGATGCTTGATTAGCGGAACGATCAACAGCAATCCGTGCGTCTACAACCGCGCCAATCATCTTGGCGGCCACAAACCTCCGAATGTGACTCTCTCCTCGTACGAGTGAAACCTAGAGGGTGTTGTAGATGGTACCTCCGACTGCCATGCCAATGGCTTGACTAATGTCCTACCGTACCCCATATCGATGTTCCAATTTCCCGGTCGTTAAACTCTGGGGTACTGATGGACTGCCAAAGTCGAGGTAGAGGTTCACAACCCCCTCTTCCAACTTCACGGTCTTCACCGATGTAGGGAAGACGTGAAATCGTCGGTCGGTGAGTGTGATGGGTCTCGTTTGCTTCTATTGCATTGGGCAATTGGCATTAGTGTCGACGTCTGTGTATAGTTGTTGGGTCAGGTGTCACCATCCGAGAAACGAAGTGGAAGGGTATAGGAACTGGTGTTTGTTGGTCTGATAATCCCCTTTATCGGGTTTCGTGGAACTCCAAAAAGCCAGCCTAGGACTAGACGATATAAGTTGGCTCGATAGAATTCGAGAGACCTTGAACGGAACGATGTGAGACTCTCTGTATCCTAGGGCAGACGTGACTGAAAAAATGGATTGCTTGGTGGCCGGCGTGGAATTTTGCTGTCGGGCTTGAAGTTCCTCAAACTTTGAGCAATCATGGCATTGGGAACGGATCAGGGAAAAGCTATTCCTTCCGTCGAGTTACCGTTAAGCCGTTCTCTCCTTCGGGAGGGGAAGCAGTCGAACGCAGGTTCAAAACTCCGCAAGTCTGAGCATAGGAGTGGAGGGCATTTAGGAGGTCGTTATGTGCGAGATAGGTCGCTGTGCTACTAGTGGGTCAAAGAGACCGGCCAAGGAGCCGCAGAGTGGAAAGAGCGAATCGCAAGGGCAACGGATTGTTTGGGAGCGCTGCCAAGTGAAGGTGCCTCCGGTTAGCACCCAAGACTGATTACCTGGTAAGTCGGACCCCCCCCATTCCGAACACCCCACATTCCGAACACTTTGTAAGCCTTGGCATCTGAACCGCCCATCTTCTTCAACCTACTATATTACAACATTATCAACCCACTACAATACAGGAAGCATCTGAGTCGGAGCTTTCTGACCCGCTCTCTTTAATGCCAGACTCTTCAAGACGACCAGCCTCAATTTGAGCCCGGTGTACCTGTTCAATGGAAGCGAACTGCTTATTCGGATCCGGGACTACCCTCCTCCTTCTCGACGGCCGGGCTGCCTCCAACTGGACTTTCAGAGCCTCGTTTTCCTGTTGCAAGCGAGCTAATTGGAAATCCTTCTTATCAAAAGCCTTCTCAACCTTCTTGAATAGAAGCCGTCGCGTAGAAAGATCTTGCCGCCGGATGGCCAGGTTGGTCAGGTGATCCCGAAGGTCTACCTTCTTGCGTGGAGTCTGAAATTCGACCTCCTTAGCCGTAGTGGGATGGCCAGGTAGCGTAGGAGCTGGGGTCTGTAGTAGGCGTAGTAGATTATCTTCGTCAGGCGCCCGGTTCGAATTTTCCAGCAAGAGAGAGCTTATCAGTGGTTTGGCCATACTAAGAGGCCATAACCCAGATGCCTTCCACCCAGCTTTGATGTTATGAGCTGTAATTGACTCCCTACGAGCCTGGACAAGGCACTTTAACATCAACTGCTTGCCCAATGCAGTATATTCTGACCAGCTAGTCAAACGATTGAGGAGCTTGCAGTAGGTGTGATTGAGGGGAGAGAACACTGATAAATCCAACGTCTAGAGAACGTAGGAGGTATAGGCTGGTACAAAGAGTAGTTGGATATTGTTGTTAAAGCACTCCCATATAAATTCAGTGGTTGTATAGCTGCCATAACCGTCCAGGATTAATAGCCGCCTCTAGGAGGGATCCTGCGGCTGGGTCCGAGGGATGAAGACCTATTGCAGCCATTCCAACGCAATTACCCTATTCACCTAGCCTTTATCGGTTGCAGTGAATAGCCAGTCCTTTAGTTCGTCCTTGGCGATAGGGAACCACTGCTATTAAATGCTCTTGCCCTTGAAAATGACAGCTGGTGGGAGTAATACCCCTATCGGAGACGCACTCCAAGAAGGAGGTCTAGGCATGCGAACCAGGGACTTTCCGTTGCACTACGCGTGTATGGGCACTTCCAACTACCAAGCCGTTGATACCCTGACCTTCCATAAGGCCGAATTCGTCAAAGTTCCAGCGGTTGGCAGGTAAGATGTCCTTGATAGCTAGGATCTTTAATTATAGAAACCAGCTACGGATAACCGCGTTAGTGGCGCCGTTGATACGAGCTGAGTCGATCTTACGGCCTCTCTGGGTTCGGATAACCGGGTTTCTACGAAGAAACCGGGTTATCCAGCCCTTTCCAATGGTTATACGGGTGGCTCCCTGTGCCTATAGAACTCGGCTGGTGAACTCCCTGATCTGGGTATGGGTTGGTGGAACACCGAGAGCGGCCTGGGTCAAGACCCATCGGGTAAGATGATCTTCCTGTACCCGGCTAAGAGTTTGTTACGGTTCGGCGGCAATAGAATGGGTCTGCGAGCCGTGGAGGCGGTCGTATAAGGTAGTCATTGGGATGCCGAATTCCCGGCTGATGCTTCGCGCTAAATAGCCACCGCGACGGTACTTAGCAACTGCATCTTGTAAATCTTGTTCCGAGTAAGCCATCGTAAACTGACGATACTACTGCCCAAAATATGAAGTGATTTAACTTAGAATTGACTGAGTTGTGGTAAGTTGAACTGAGGGGGTCGAAAAAGCGGTGTGGGCTTACAAAGTGTTCGGAATGTGGGGTGTTCGGAATCGGGGGGGTCCGACTTAGCACTGATTATTAACAAGCACAGTATCTGATGGGTCGTCAAAACACCGTCATAATTTGAAGCTGCAAAGATACCCTTTTATGCGTCCTTAACTCTCTCCTTTCGGTTCCCCTCTTTCCATGTCTTTGCCTTGCAGCTCAGGCGGGAACTTCTACTCTCTCGCCGAGCGGCTTCTCTCGGGAGCGTACCGGTATCTGACAATGATGGCACCGGAGGGACTGTACATCCTCTCAGATGCTCCGCCACAAACGGCCTCCTTACCTCACCCTCCCTGATGTCATCATTGCCATCCACCGTTGCAAGTCAGTGGTCTTAGGCGTGTGATGGGGCAAACCTGCTGGATGAGAATTTGCATCAGTTTCATGTTTCCCGCACCTGCAAAAGCCGCGCGAGGGCCCCGGCCGAGTGGAAGTGCGGAATTATTTCTATGTCGATGGTAGCCATGTGGTAGAGCTCTACCTCGAGAGGCGCAGATCCCTGGGTCCTCGAGAGCTCCCAGTTAGGTAGGTATTGATGGCTGACTGGCGTCTCTAATGTTATGGACAGTGGCCTGGGCACTGGGCAGTACCGTTAAGATTTTGTCGACTGACGTGGGTGCCACGCAATGCCATTCATATGGTAGCTACCTTAATCATCAGTAACGTTGACGTAAGGATGAGCTATGTATTCTTCTCGGATGGTCTGATCGCTGTCAAATTTTGAAGTGTCACGTCATAGACCTATTAGCATTTTGGAATGAGATCTAAGCATCACTAAGCCGTCACCAGCGGGGCACTGAGCCATGAGGCCCCCGTATAAGAACGGCCAAGTCCCTTGAAGTGTAGGCTTGCAAACTCCCACTCCTACAACCAACAGGAATTCGCTACCCTAGGTTCAACACCTTAACCGATATTCAAATAATCTTTCAATCTCTTACGACTCCGACAGAATGCAGTGCGCTGTCTGCGCATCCGAAGTTGTGGTCGCTAATGGGATCTGCAACACCTGCCAGTTGGCATTCGACGGGCTAGGTGCCTTTTGGACAAATGGTTGCAGATAGCCTGTGATTATGAAAGACCCTATCGTCATAGTACGTTCAGAAACTCTATACACTATCCATTGGTTCTGACCTCGCTTGAAGAGGACTATCCACCTTTGGTATCTGGCGATACTTTTACTCTAGTGCCGACTCTTTTATGCAATGGCACACCTCACGCCCGTTGGGCGGGGACGCCTCAGATCCCTGGTAGAGCCACTCGAGAGGTTCGAAGAGGCCATGAGATGGACCCTGGACCCCGGACCCACCCGCCTTGTCTTACTCCGACAGCAAATTAGACTGCGCGATGGTGAGACGGTGGTAGTCTGCAGCAGTTGGTACCAGCGCTGGTATCGAACAGTACGCTCCAGGCTTGTGCACAGGCAACCAACGGCGCTGCCTTTGAGGGCCGGCATCAGCCAGCCTTATGTTGCGCCGGGAGGATATGCCGTTGCGCCCAGCTGCTGGGTGGGAGGACTCTCGACCTATTACTAGTTATGGGTCAGGTTATTGGGTTTATTTTGCAATACTATCAAGCGTTGAGTTCCGTTATTGGGTTTATTTTGCAATACTATCAAGCGTTGAGTTCCGTACCTAGTTGGCACTCTATACATCCCCTAGCGCCATTCAATGAGAATAACCTAGAGAGATGACAGACTACTTAGTACCTCTTAGGTAGGTTTCAGCATAACTACAGTTGAGGTAGAGATTCCCGAGTTCCTAGCGAAAGTAAGACAATCAGAGGACAGTGTTTCTCTAAGACACCTGTAGAAGTCTGGTGGCATTCGCATCTATAGAAGGGAAGATGTTATCTGCTTATCTAATCAGTTTGATGGGGCATCCACGGTATAGGGCCTGCAGAATGATATCAGCGATCGTGTGGCATGCAGTCTGCGACAGACCCTAGCTTTTCGCTACTGACCTGCGCTATAAACGCGCTGAGACGCAATAACCTGACACGATAACAACGTACAATATAACAACCACCTTTGCATTACTGGTACCTTGCTTCCGCTGCACAGTTAATTTTTATAGAGGCCTATTGTTATGCCCTGTGTCAATTGAGCAGGAGAGAATCATAATATGCCTAGGTAAGCTAGAAAACCGGCAATCCGGCATTATTCTATAGGAGGCCGGAGGGCTTGGGAGCCACAATGCCACATTGCATATAAAGACAATATAGGTCTTGATCCCACATGTCAGAGGTGTGCATTATTCCCAAGGTATCTATACTTCGTATAGGTACCTACCTTAGGTAAGGTGCACTGCTTGGTGATGCGACTATGCTGTGTGAAATCGACTGACGTCTTCTCGTTGCCACTTAGTAGAGTAAGATAGATCATAGAGGCGCCAAAGCTTTTGATTGCTGGCTGGCGTTAATCATTGAGGTGATATCGAGTGGCCACAACCCGAAAGAGAGCGTTTATTAGGTTGCCGTACTTGACCATATGTCTTTACTAGGAGTCGATGACACGAACAGCGGCGTCAAGCTGAGCTGCGCTACCTGTAACTACGTATTCGGGGATTGTGCTCGCAACGTGTGGTACAGTTTTACCAGTACTAACGTCAAGTCAGTAGCCACAAGACTCATCACACTGGGTGGAGACTCGAGACGACGCAGTCTTATGCAGGGTCAAGTCACTTGTAATTACTACAAAGGATGACCTATTACTATGTCAAGGACCCCGAGCCACCGTCATCAGACAGGTCACGGGGATGGCCCACTTGTCGTCTGCGTCAGCGTAACCCTCTGGTCCTTTGGTTGGCCGTTTCTCCTTCTCTTTTGGGTAATATTTGCAGGGGCCCGATGGTATCTTGGAGTTTTATGCTGTCTTTCCTGCTTATTAGAGAAGGGGTCTGATCTTGTATTACACTTCCTCCACACTAAGGTACCGCGGATTTTACAGCCTATTATCATCGGGAACTCTCTTCACTAGCGATACTGATAGGCAGCATCCGGACACTACCTAAGATATAATGACACGCCCAAGCTGTACAATCCCCTCCATGGGACGCATGCTTCCACGGGTCCGGCGGGCAGCATCCAAAACTGCAGACGACGCTGTAGAGACGCAAGTAATTTCCGGATTCGCCCTCCGCGTTGGTGATGCCGTTGCATCATTCTGTGACCAATGCGCTTGGGTTAGCCGCGGAAGGGGCACGAAGGGGCGTCTAAGAGGAAGGGGGAGCTGCTGACATATAGAGGAGATAGCAATCGCAAGGATGGCGAGTACGGGGAGCATGTTGGGCACGGTTAAGGGCTTACCGCCGGAGCTGGGGATGCCGCTTGTTTGGGCTGGGCGGGTGGTGGTCGAGGTGCTGGCCGGGTTAGGCCCTGATGTTGCCCCCTGTCCCGGGGTGGCGGTTGGCCACGTGGGTGCTGATTGTATGCCGGTCGGATTTGCTTCGGCGTAGCACTCGGCGTTGATGAGCGTGTGGTTCAGATAGATGGCGCCGCCCAAGACGCCAAAGTTGGAAGCTTGATACCACATGACGGGGCACTCCTCCGCGATGCGGATAACACTGGCGCTGTTGGCCGCCCACCACGAGGAGCAGTTGCGCGCGTACGCCGTGTAGTCTGGCAGAAGCGAGGCCGGCACGGCCGTGGTGAAGCCGCACCACCGTGACTTGTCTGGGAAGGCGCAAGGGTAGTCGTACGTTCCGGAGGTCAAGCACGTCTGGATCAAACTGGAGCCGAATGAGTTGTACGCCTCCCCCAGTGCGCCGGTTGGCATAGGCACCGAGAGATATGTCATCGGGTCCTCAGTGGCGCACCGCCACGGATCTGTCCAGGTTTCCTCGACATCTGGGTACGCCGTGGGAGCAACTATCGGGTGCACTTCCGTATAGTTGGCCGAGGTCGGGAGGGCGGCGACGGCGCCGATGAAGCTGGCCAGTGCCGCTGCGAGCGCTGCCTTTCTCGTCATGATGGCGGTGGTATCGTAGCAGCAGAAGGAGGTCAGACAAGAGAGGATACCGGGTCAAGAGCGAAATGCATGGTCGAGTTGAGTGAGTTGAGTTGGAGCGCGGTGTCAGGAAAGCAGTGTGTCCTAAATCAGGTGTGCCTGTGGCCACTTGCCAGGGGCTCCAGGCACCACGGGGTTTTACCCCTGCACATGTAGCTTGGCAATGTGAGTCTCATCAAAGTTCCTCCACATCTATCCATGGGGCGGCCCGGATGAGAGGTGAAAGATTTTACCAACAGTCTTTGGCAAAACGCAACATCATCAGAGTTTCTCTTATTATGCACATGTATGTATACATTGTGCAAAGGAGTTCCCTTCGCACGAGTACCTAGGAGCCTAGCGTCATACCTGGTAGCGTTAGTACCTAAGCGCTGACTCAATACAGATTATACAGACCAGGAAGCTCACTCCTACAATCCTACGGCTATGATCCATCAACCGACCCGGGGCGGAGGGTTGTAGACCCGACGATAGAAGTCTCGTTCAATCACTCGTCTTCCTCGCGGCGGTCGGCTAAAGAAGGATGGTGCTCCTCTATCCAATCCTGGACGGCCTTCATGCAATTCCGCTTGTTGTAGCGCTCGAGGTCGGGCCAACCGTGCGCCCGATATATGTCGGCCACCATAGCCACCCTTTGGGTAGTGGCAAAGTACACCTTGCGGGGGCTAATGGGGATATAGAACAGCTGCTTGAACAGGTCTTTGAGAAGTTCAAAGAAATCCGGGATGGCCCAAGCCATGGAGCCGGCGCGCCAATCAATCTCGTCCATGCAAATGCCATCGTACCCCTCGTACTCCTCGCCCTCGATCGGTTCCCGGGACGGATTTTGCAGCACGTCGTTGTGGCACTCGTACCAGTATACCACACCGAGTTTGGTGTCGAGCAGGAATTTCGGGTTATAGTAGCCGCCCTCCGTGAGGCTGAAAACGTGGGGATATATGCACTTGGGGAGCTCCTCCTCGGTTGTGACGCCTATATCCCCGGCGGATAGTTCACCGCAGGAGACAAGGCGAGCGATGCGGCGCCAATCGGCAAATAGGGCCTTGCCGGCACCCTGGGCCGAGTCGTCGCTGGAGTGAATGTAGGGAAGATGGCGGAGCAGCGAGATGACCTCGTCTGTTTTCCCTAGCATACCGATGGTTTCGGCGTTGATTTCGGGCCAGCCCCCTTCAGGCGGTTCGGCAACGTAGCATTCTTTAAGGTACATCCGAGTAAGGAAACGGTAGTACTTGCGGACAGCGGCGATGGTCGCCTCTCGTAAGTAACTAACCTCGTGGAGCTCGGGCATTTTACTTCTTCGAGGAGCCGTAGAAATATGAATAGGTGAGCGAGAGTCTTTCTACAGGACGATGGTAAGAGAAGTGGATAGGCCAGAAGTAAATAGTGCAGGTGCAGGGTTAACCGCCGACTAAAACAGAATTTCAAGGATTCGTCGATGCAATGCCAGACTCGCCAGTTGATTGATACCGTACAATTCTGCGAAAAATGGAAATACTACCTCCACTCTTGGCTGAATATAGCCAATAGAACGGTGCGGCAGAGGGTTCTGCCAGGAGCCCTGGGCGTGCCCAGCGATGTCTAGGTCTCTGAATAGAACGCTGATAGAGCGATTTCACCCCAGAGAGACCTGTAAGGCCTCTGTCACAGCCAATGATAAACCCAGCATTAAAGTGGAGGTAGTATTTCCATTGTTCGCGAAATTGTACGGTAACTACCAGGTAGGTAACATTAGCTTCCGGCTTTTGTATCCGGGTTCCGCATCCGGGCCGATGCGGTGCACCGTCTTGGCCGCTGTCTTGGCAGCAATAGTATATACTATCCACTAGCGCCAACGTCGCAAATGCGACGCACTATAGAGTATTGTAAGGTAATAGGTAAGCCCTATTCTCGACATTGTTCTCATTCGACAAGCTGGAGAGTCAGAACCAACAGGTTCCACTCGACACGCTAAATACAGATCCGTAGCGGGGTTGGCGTAGCAGAGAAGATGGAGCCACCGCGCTAAGGGACTTTTCGACGCCGAAGTTGGAACCCCAACGACCTACCGTCAGAAGTTCAGAACCCAACGAGTCGTGCTCCCTGCGCTCAGGAATCCAGGATACACCGATATAGAGTGAAGGCAGCATCATTTATATACGACGTGATACGTCCCAAATTAGGTACCTAGTATTCGCGCCGGTATATAAGTAGGTATCTTGCCGAAGCCTTCTAGCCCTCGAGACGTCGCTTTTTACTCCACTACTTCTACTAACAGAAGTGCTACCCAATCGAGGGCAGAGCTTGTCGTACAAAAGGTCTACGATGCGAACTCCTCTGCAAAGACCCTATTGGATAAGCGAAGGCAGCATGCTTGCTTGGCAAAACAAGGAGAGCCCCTCTATTCCCTGAGAAGATATATCGGTACATGCTCCTAGGAAAGGCTGGCCAGACCGGAGTAACATCCACCTGCTATGGACGCAGATACTTACAGGCAATAGCTATGGCATTTACGGTCGAGGCTATTACTTATACGGAGATATCCTCTCGGTGCCTGCTATAGAAAGTCTACGAGAGTGCGTTCTCTTGGACTTAATCTTCTCAACTATTCTTTGTCCGCCAGGAGGACGACCCTAGAAGAGTTTTAACTCTTGCCGCTTTGGACCCTCTTGGAAAGATACGGCAGCTGATAACGGCACTTACGGCATCCCTCCTTCTCGGGCCCGATATCGTATAGGCTGCCCTAAACCTCGATAGGACCTAGGCGGCGGCCCCGGTCGGCGATAGGGATCCATCACCCATCAGCGATCCTTATGCCTACAATCCTAATTAGCATAATTGTCCGCTCCCATGCGTTAACTACTCCAACATTTATAGCTAGACTCTATACCTATCGGTTGACCGTCTTTGCCGTTGCTAGGAGCCCCTGCTGCTCCAATTCTTGGTGATATAGCCCCTAGATGACCCGGCTTCTACTATCTTAATCTGCAGCTACATACTCAACGTTACGTCTCGCCAAAATCTAGGGATAGCCTCTCCTAGTTCGCCAAGGACTATAGAAAACCCTAAAAAGTCAGAGAAATTATTCGACCTAAAGCTAAACTCGGCCCCGGCATGCTATAGTGCTACGGCTAAAGTCAAAGGGGCCACTCTACAGCTGGCCGCCACCATTGGCAACGGCTCTATAGGAAGCCCTGACGACATTATAGGCCTGCTAGAGGGCATAGAGAGGTTCTTCGACGCCAAAGACAACTGCGACAAGAACTTCCTGTTTGCCTGGCACAAGAAGACGGCCGCGAGCGTCTACCTCGGCACGGCTCTTGGCAAGCCCACCGTTGCGTCAGCCGTCAGAGCGCTCGCTAGCCGCCTGTAGACGGGGCGCTCGGTGCCTAACCGCACGATTGCTAAGCTCTACGGCAGCAGGCGGCGCCTAGAGCACCTCTTTGGCATTGCAATCGGCACGGCCAGGGACCTCGCCATACTTTAAAGCACGGCTTTGGCGTAGAGTCACGGCGCTTGTACCGCTAATGGAAACATGAACCTCGAGCCTGCTAGGGAGCTAAAGGGCGCAAGGGTATTTGAAGTCAAGGGAGCGCCGATGGTAGGAGGTAGCGACGATAACAACAACAGGACGGTCGGCAGAAATTTGATCACCGCAAGTATATATTCTATAGCGCGCCTCACTCCTCGCTCTTGGCCGCTCCATGCCCTAGGCAAGCAGGATATAGAAGAGGGCCACCTGCTGCTATATTCATATTATATCGGGCGATAGCTACGGCACCCTTATATCCCGGTGCGGCATCTCGGCTATAGACTTCTATAAGTATAACCCGGCGGCGAATCTCTGCGGCACCCTTATGCCGGACGACTACGTATGCTGTTTAGCGGGCGACCCCTATAAGCCGCCGACGCTATAGCCAGACTTGGACGGCACCTACGCGATATACCTTATCCAGAACAGGGATATATACGAGATACTGGCCAAACGGTACTATGTCACCGTCAGCGAGCTAGAGGCCTGGAACAGGGGAAAGACATAGGGCTGGACCGAGTACAGGGACATGCTACTCGGCTATAACATGTGCATCAGCGACGGCTTTGCTCCCTTGCCCCTGCCCCAGGAGGGGGCCAGCTATGGCCCGCTGGTTCCCGGCATACAGTTTCCGCCCGACTTTGACCGGTGGAGGAACGCACTGGGCGAACTTAACCCCTGCCCGCTCAAGGCGTACTGCAGCAACTGGGGCTTCTATAGTCCGTTCCCTGCCCACTGCAAGATCCACGCGCCCGAGGGGGGCGGGCCGGGGAGCAAGGAGAAGGGCTACCAGAGCACATGCGTCTCTAACTGCGGCACCGACATCAAGGTCAACTCGGGGCCGCCCGCCGCCTTCCAGCGGATCAGCTACTATGAATCCTACAATATAAAGCGCAAGTGCTTGTGGCTCGGCTCCAAAAGAGCCAACACAGATGGCACCTACACCTACATCCACTGGGCCTTCGCCGAGATTGATCCCAACGGCTGGAAGGTTGTTCTCACCGATCCTTACAACCAGTGGGCCGACTTCAAGGCTCTCCCTAACGTAAAGCGCATCCTCGCGTTTGGCGGCTGGGCCTACTCGACCGAGCTGGCAACGTTCGGCATCATCCGCGCGGCCATCCTCGATCACGGTGCCGAATTCACCAGCAACATCGCCAAGTTCCTCAACGACGAGGGACTTGACGGTGTCGACATTGACTGGGAGTATCCAGGTGTAAGTGCTTACTGCTCTCCCTCTCCTTCTCCCTTGGATTCCCAGGGGACCCCAACTCAGTCAAACAACATTGGACATCTGACTGATCAACATGTTCCCATGCAATGCATTAGGCCCCAGATATCTACGTGGGCGACTAGCCCATCGGCCAAAAGGGAGACGGCGCCGGATACCTCACCTTTCTTACGGCCCTGAAGAAAAGGGTCGGCCCCAGCAAGTCCGTTTCGATTGCCGCTCCAGCCTCGTTCTAGTATCTGAAGGCGTTTCCCATCGACCGTATCGCGGCTGTGATCGACTGCATTATATTCATGACCTACGACCTACACGGCCAGTGGGACTATGGCAACGCGAACGCGTTTGACGCGTATAAGTCTGGAAAATACATCCGGAGTTACGGTAGGGCTGATCCTTCCCCTAGTCCCCGCAAGACATGAGGTTGTGAATAGAAATAAAGGGAACATTAAATGCTGACTTCTTAAAACCCCCAAATACAGTCAACTTGACCGAGACTTGCAGCTCGCTTTCTATTAGTCCGTATTCCTCTTTCTATCCCCCCCTCCCCCGTTCTCCTTACACGGTATACCATCGCCAGTACTAACCCGCCCGGTCTGTGAAATAGTCACTAAAGCCGGCGTACCTAACAATAAGATCTTTGTCGGCGAGGCCAGCTTTGGTCGAACCTTCTATATGGCGCAAGACGGCTGCTGGGGGCCTATGTGCGAATTCACCGGGACAAGACTGCAGTCAGACGCAAATCCCGGGCGGTGCACGAAAACGGCGGGCTATCTTGGCTACGCTGAGATCCTGGAAATTGTCTCGCGGAGCGGCGACAACGTCCAGGCCTTTCACGACCACGCATCGAACACGGATGTTTTGCTCTACAAGGGTTTGTCGGACCACTCTTCTTTCTATCCCACCACGGCATCAGCCCACCTCCTACACTATATGTAACTAAAACAGTGAAATGCCCCATGCGCTAATCATGCCACCTCGGCAGGAGACTATGTCAGTTACATGACCCCGACCTCCAGGGACACTCGACGAGCCGACTGGCAGAAGCTGAACTTCGCGGGCACCGTGGATTGGGCCGTTGACCTACAGCTCTTTGGCGAGGAGGACAAGGCCGTCCCGCCCACTCTGCCCAACCCGGGGGAGGAGGGATGCATCACCGGTGAAGATCTCACTGCTAATACGGCTGAGCTTTGCGAGTTTGCGTACGCCTATGGCTTTTGCCCACCCACTCTTTGTAGGTGTACTGACACGGGCCGGGTTCCGCCCTTCCCACCCGAGAGCAAGGGAGTGAACATATCCAACATCATAGCCTGGGACGAAGACGATGTCGAACTCAACCAGCTCTGCAAATTTGGATGCAAGTATAGCTACTGCCCCAGTTCCGCTTGCACGACACCGATTGTCGACGTCGACACCGGCGACGATCCCGAGGACGACATGAACGACCCCAACTACGTCGATACCGGAGATATTCGCTACCAAAACCAGAAGTACTGCTACCTTTCACAGGATCCACGAGAGTGGGGACCAGCAGTAGCGCAGTGCAAAAACTGGTGCACGCCGTACATCGAGCAGGCCGCAGACGAGGGCCGGACTACGAACTACGGCTGCGTGGTCTGGCAACCAAAAGGCGCACCGGATCCGTATCAACCGATTTCCGGAATGCCAGGCAAATGGGCGAAGGGCGAGTGCAACTGCGATAACTTTCTCATCAACGAGATCGCCGACACGGTGCTGGAGGCCATGCCCGCCATTGCTCAGGTACGTCCCCTGGCAAACCACACGCACTCTGCCATTCACCGGTGGCCTATCTTACCGCGTACTGACCTTTCTCAAGATTGCCTGCTACGTCGTCATGTCATCATTCAAATTGGTCCTCGATGTTGGGACGAGTCTTGCTACAGGTGGAGCAAGCCGGGTTCTTAGTGGCGGTTTAGGTACAGTACTACTCTGTCTCCGAGGAATCTCTCCTCTCGGCTCCCAAGCCTGCTCGACACTCATGATTAATTCACTCCAGATATGCTCGCCACGGCGGCCGAAATGGCTTCATACATCTACCCGGCGAACGAAGATCCCGCAGGAGCTTTCTCGTGGTGGCTCTCGCCCTACGGAGGCACGGATCTCGTTCCGGATGATATCAAGAAGGTTTTCGACATCCTCAACTCCCTTCCGGATGGTGTGTCAAGCTTCAGGGTGCCGAAGAATATTCCCAAGGGGTCAGGGAGGAAAGGAGATTCCGGCAACCCCCACGACCAGTCCACGCCCCGAGCACCGGGTCCCATTGGAGGCGGCGGCTCCAAGCCGAAATGCAGGGTACCTGTATCCAAGCAGACGCAACGACTGATGCCGGCCAAGAACACCGTCTGGGTGATAGAGTGTGTCAGAGACCGAACCAAAACGACAGAGTACGTTGTTACATTTGTCATCTCGGCCTAGAACGCCGTCCCGAGTCAAGTCAAACGGAGGTGCCTAGCGGCCTGGACGCATGCATGCTACCATTATAGCTCGGCCATCAGCGTGAATAACCAATGGGCAACTTTGGCTTGCCCGCCGGAGGCCGGGAGGGTGTCCAAGCAACGCGACGACGACTCGCCAGCTATGGAAACCTGGGCGGCGGAGCACAAGGGCGCTGGCTGGAAGGATACAGGATGCGACAGAGACGAGTTCCCTCCGGCATATCTACTAAACGACCAAATGCATGAGTGGAGACAGGGTGGCAAGCAGAGCGACGCGCAGCTCGTACGGCTCCTCCCCAACAAGGAGAACCAGGGTGCTGGCGGCATGTGGAAGGGTGCATGCTTTAGGGAACCGCTCCTGGACTTGTCCGACCGCACTTTCAAGGACAAGGTTGTATTGGCCAACGTGAACAACCCTAGAGTACTGGTACAGAACGCGGACAAGACACAAACCTTCGCCGCCATCACCGTCCACCAGTGGCCCGAGTTTACCATCACCGCGTGGGACCACGCCGCCAACCCGCCCAACGATGATGGCCTGTAGGACAACCGGTGCTGGCCGCAGGGCCGCACTCCCAACGATCCAGGCTTCGCCCTGCTGCAGGAAGCGGACCTGTGGAACAAGGCCCACTGGCCGAATTGGGCCTCCTTGGCAATACGCTGCCAAGTACGAGGCGGGTAAGAACGGAGTTTGAGTATATGGTTTTTGTATTTGACTGGACTGGTCACACTATCTATACTAGTAGTCGATACCTTGCCATACACACCAGGCTGCGACAAGAGAATGTGCAGCAGAAGATTATGGGTATTCTTTTTTTTCTCGCCCTTAAGCCTTCGCTGCAAACCTGGAACGTGAAGCAAAAACGGATGTCTGTCTCCAGCCAATACGTTATAGGACAACGACCACTGCTTCGGGACCTCTCTTCTGCCTTGTAATTGTGACACTAGCATACATTGTGCAGATATTAATGATCACTACGATATTGGAAGTTGACCGACCGATTCCAACATCTTCCGAGAGTCACTCACTGGGCCTGTTCTTCTTTCCGACAGCCCAAGACGTATTTTCTAGTCAGTATCGGATGTAGTCTGACCACCACCTCAACTGTCATTCATAGAAGGTCGCGTATTTATAAAGCCGTCGACAACATGGATGCAACCAACCCAAAGTCGTCTCCAACTGCGCAATGAAACCCCTGAAGCAGCATAAGAAAGCTTGATCCCTGCTATATTGATTTCGATCTGACCTTCGACATTGCCTGTATTTCTATATCTGATCAGTAAACAAACCATATAAGGACGGCGGACGTGTTCGAAGGCCCGTCGTCACGGTCACGGTCGGATACTGTGCGGTGGCCTGTTGATGATGGGCCGTAGGTGAAGGGACTTATGTTGCACGGAGCTGAGGCTCGCCGTCCGACCTCCCTGCGGCGTAAAAGCAGGAAACACAACTGGCGCGTGGTAGGATACGGACACTTTCCGCTCAAGGGTAAAATCAGCGTCTAATCTCGGGAGTGCCCTGTATTTGTACATGACCGCTGGACAGTTTTCTTGCTAAACTGATGTAGCATTCGGATTGGCCACGCGCTGCATACGGCCAATCATGGTGTGCCTGTATTTGGAATTGCATTGAACCCGATAAGGTATTCACGGCAACGTGCCCCCTCCTCTTTTTGTTGTGGGCAGATCCCGAGCATCCAGCTTTTGGCCCAGACCGTGACCCCGAGCAGTTAAGTTCAGACCATCTTTGCCGACTCCGTTACACGCCAGTCGCCGCGATGATGCGGCATTTGCTTTTGGCCCTCGCGGGTTTTATTTACGTGACCTATGCTTCAAGAATGGCCCCCGCGTTTGCGACGATTGTCTCTCCGAGGACGGTTGACAGCACCAGCTACGACTTCATTATCGCCGGCGGGGGCATTTCGGGGTTGACAGTGGCCGACAGGCTGACGGAAGATCCCTCAGTAAAGGTCCTGGCCATCGAAGCGGGACCCTTTGATCGGGACGAACCCGGTGTGCTGGTCCCAGGCCAGTACATGCCGGTTCCGTACCTCTGGATCCCGCTGCCAAGCACCCCTCAGACTGCGCTCAACGGCAGAAGCTTCAATATTCCCGCCGGGAAAGTGGTCGGAGGTGGATCCGTCGTCAACGCCATGGTGTTTCTGAGGCCCGGAAAAGAGGAGCTCAGGGATTGGGAGAGGCTTGGGGCAAAGGGGTGGAACTGGGACTCACTCCTGCCCTATTACAAAAAGGTGAGCTCAACTATACTTTTCAATGTTTCGTGCTTGGGTGTTTGATTATGGTGTGACTGAGAAGATTAGAGCGAGAACTCGACTGCTCCCGACCCGAAGTTTGCGCGACGGGCCAACTTCACGTACATCGACGAGGTTCACGGACACAGCGGGCCAGTACAGGTTTCTTTTCCCAACTTCTATTACTCTGCCAGTGGTGAGTAGTACTAGTAGTGATACTTACTATTCTGCCTTAACTCCGCATTTTTCCATTAACTACCTAAATTCAGGGAACTGGTTCGAAGCTGCGGTGTCTTCCGGCATCAGCGTGTCGGGCGATCCAAGCGACGGCGACGCCAGAGGCGTGATCTTCATCCCATTTGTTACAGATCACACCACCCGGACCCGCTCTCACGCCAGGCTGAATCATTACACACGCGTCCAGCCACGGCCTAACTATCACGTCGTACACTCTCATACCGTCTCGCGAGTTCTCTTCGACAAGCACAAAAAGGCCGTCGGGGTTGAGTACTTACCCACCCAAGGCCAAGGGGGCGCGTTGCTCACGGCCAGAGCCAGTAAGGAGGTTCTCCTAGCCGCGGGCGCGCTGCACACGCCCCAGGTCCTCCAGCTCTCCGGCATCGGGCCGAAGACGCTCCTGGACAAGCTGAACATTGACGTGGTCGCCGACCTGCCCGGCGTCGGAGCCAACTTCCACGACCAGCCCAGCCTCCTGATCCCTTACAACGTCACCAACAACATCTCGCCAAACCTCGGGTCCCTGTCCGACCCCGCATACGCCGCCGAAGCACAAAGACTCTACGACGAGAACAAAGCCGGGCCCTACGTAATCACCCGCGGGCTGAGCACCAACCTGGCCCTCCCCTCCCTGCGCCAAGTCACGCCCAGCAACTGGCAATCCATCCTCGCCGCCGCCCGACAGGCCAATTTCGACGCCTACCTCCTCCCGGACACCCACCCGACCGTGCGAGCAGGCTACAAACTCCAACGAGAACTGACCCTCTCCCAACTCGAAACCGACGAGACACCGGTGCACATGCTATCGTGGAACACGGACGCCGAAGCACGCATCTACTTCCTACGCCCGCTCAGCCGCGGCACCGTCGCCATCAACAGCACCGACCCGCTGGCGCACCCGCTGATCGACTTCCGGACGCTGGCCGACCCGGTCGACATGGAGCTGACGCTCGCCGCGCTGCGCAAGAACAGGGAGGTGATGGCGCAGCCGAGCATGGCCGTTCTCGGGCCGAGGGAGGGGGTTCCCTTTGGGGAAGGTATCACGGATGCGGAGGCGTTGAAGAGCATTCTGAGAGGAGTGGTGGATCCCAGTAGTGCGCATAGTTGTTGCACGGCGGCCATGATGAGGAGGGAATGGGGCGGCGTGGTGGATCAGGAGATGAGGGTGTATGGCGTGGAGGGGTTGAGGGTCGTGGATACGAGCTATTGGCCCATCGTGCTTACCTCGGCGCCCACGGCGACGGCGTATGCGAGTGGGGAGAAGATTGCGGATGTGATTAAGATGGCGTATGGGTTGGCTGAGTTTAGGAGGGGCAAGTGAGTACGTATTTACGCTCTGTTGAGGGAAGTTGTTGTTAGGAACTCGGACACGTAATCTAGGCAAGCACTCGCCACTCGGTGCCTTTACAACACTCTTTGAGCTTAACTGACGTTGGTCTTCTCACCACCTTTTGACCCACCGCGATGGCTACACAAACAGCGACTGCACGGCACTTATATGATTTACTGGACGAACTGCAGCTCATGGTGGGAAGGGTTGGCTTTAGAGCCCAACCAATGGTCTTCTTCCCTCCCAGCCGCTCGAGCTCAGCTCCTGCAGTCCAGCCACGATGTAACGCCAGACCATCTCAATAAAAGGAGGGACTTGCAAATGTCGTATGCATCGTGAGCAACCCGACCCTTTTCTCTCCCGTCCGTGCAGGATTTGTTTAGCACGGAAACAAAAAAGAAGAAAATTCATATCAACAACCCGATCAACTGGCCGACATACTAATACCCAGATGGACAATCGCATAGCGCTGTCCCCTTTTCTTTTTCTAATAATATGCTTCTTCAGTCTAGCCATCACTGCGCAAAGCAATGACACTACCACCGCGTCAACTGCCCCGAACCAAGAAGCGAGAGTAGGATGGGTTGCCGGCCCGAACCAGCGCGGCACGCTCACGCTCGTGTACGGATGTCTGAGCACCATCTTCGCGAGCACCTGGACGGTGTTGCACCTGAACGTCCCGGGTCCGCACGACGAGTGGTGGCGGAAGGCCCTGCGGAAGGCCAAGTGGATGGCTGTCACCGTCCTCTTCCCCGAGTTTGTCTTCTCAAAAGCCGTCTGCGAGCTACGAATGGCAGTTGCCAACCTCCGCGACATGCATGAGGCCATGAAGAAAGCCAGGGCCGAGCTCCGCTGGGAGGACTCGGTCCAGCGTGAATATCCCAGGAGAGTTGAAACCGTGATCTGGACGTGGGAGGCCGACTTTGGCAAGGGCATGAGGTTGTTGCATTGGCTTTTTGGCTTGGGTAAACTACCTGCAACCGTTGAGGACCAGGAGGACGGGCGAGAGGTAGTCTGCGAGAACGAGAACAAGGAAGGTTCCGAGAAACCGGCGCCCACAGTCGTCGGGCGGGGCGAGGTTGAAAGTCTTGAAATTTCAGCGGCCCAGCCACAACCACAGCCAGACAACATGGCGAACCATGACCCAGTCAAGAATGCACGCTCTCGGCCAGGTGACGCACGCGCCTCACTTCGGCCTAATGATGCCAACCACGACGGAGAAAGGGTTCCATACTTGTCATTCTCCAGCCAGGACTCTCATGACAAAGGTGAAGTCCGGCGAAGGTGGACGTTGGTTCACTGCCTGTACGCCAACATGGGCGGCTTGGTCCCGTACCCTACACAAGGCATCGGCAGCGGCAGCGGGGGCCCGGGAGCCCAGCCTGTCACGACACCGATGCTTGCGGAGACCATCAGACGTGGCGGATGCGATTCTCTCAAGCATTTCGTTCTCGACCGAGCCGACATTGAAGACAAGAGCAAGGCGGACTGGCTGTTGAGAACCATTGCCGTCATGCAGATCGTCTGGCTCGTCCTCAACGTAGCGGCGCGTGCCATCGCCCGTGTGCCCGTCACCCAGCTCGAGATTGCCACGGTAGCATTCTCCATCACGGCCATCGCAACATATGCGGCCAACTGGTGGAAGCCCAAGGACATTGGCCAGCCAACGGCCCTACCCCGAGTTCTCCAGGGTCACCGTATCGAACATTGGGCAATACCCGAGGACTACAGAAACTTCCAGAGCTTCGTCAACCGTACTCTAAAGCCCTCGTATACTCGTGAGCTGCAGATCGACGGGTGGATAGACCGCGTCCGGAACGACTTAACGTGGATGAGGGGGGATCCCCCCATGCCGCGGATGTTTTACGCCTTGATGGCAGTGTCATCCCTGGTATTCGGTGGCTTCCACTGCCTTGCCTGGAACGTCCAGTTCCCTTCCGAGACCGAGCAGGTACTTTGGAGGGCCGCGAGCATCATGTCGGCTGCCCTGCCGGGCGTTTCGCTTGCCCTCACGTCCGTCATCAACGTCCTCGCGACGACGGTTTCCGAGAAGAGATTTCTGGCCGTCGTCCGCAAGACTCTGGTTCCGCTCCATCGATTGCCCGAGGATTTTTGGCGTCTCCTATGCGAGGAACCCAAATGCCTGCAGTGGCCGTTGCACGCCTGGCTCGTTCTTCGAACTAAGCTGCACACACAACTGCTGGGTCCGCTCGACTGGGAAGAGGAACCTCCTGTGACAACAGGTGAGCTGAATCCGGCCGACGAAGAAACAGCCGCTGCCTATCGGCATCACTTTGAGACGTACTGGTCGGATTTGAAGCACTTCAGACAATACTGGCTTGAAGTGGACAATGGTGTTCTCAGTCGAAGGGGCCCCGAGCCCTTGTTCCTCCACTACTATGATTGCATCCACGACAGCGCTGCCTGGGGTCGACCAGACGCCCAAGTGGCCTCGGCGCTGTGGTGGGCTTACGAAGCCTATCTCAAGTCCAAGCTTCGGCATCTTGACCCGGATCTCCAAACGTTGCGCGTCCTCGACTTTCTCATTGATACCCGCCGCCCCATCCGCTACATGCGGGCTAGCAGGGAACTATTCGTAACGTACTGCGACCGCGCTTCGAAGTTCGTAACTATCCTGAGCAGTATCATCTATGCTGTTTCTCGCCTTGCCATTCTCATCCTCCTGTTCACATCCCTGCGGTCTGTGCCGGAAGCTGTCTACGAAAACAGCCCGTGGACTCGGTTCCTGCCAAACATCTCCTGAGGGCCCATCAGGGGAAGGAAGGTACGGATACCCAAGTCCTATTAACACGTCCAAAGCACTTGTTAGCTGATTTGCGCAAATCGTTGGTCACAGTGCGGAAAGAGACCGAAGGGGAAGGACTGCGACCCTACCGGTAGGTTGTTTAACGAAGGGATGTGGCGCTGGTTTAACGCTGATTTTGCGGGCGGGAGTGACACTCAACCGATAACGAAGGGGAATGAAATCATGAGGTCTTAACTGGCATCATTGAGGATCGAACGGATCTCTCTTCTTCCCGCCAATAAAATTTCGCAATCGACATCTTCGTACCCTTGAGCAGCGTCTCAGTCATGTGCCATCATCTTAGCCATCCCCTCCCCAAACAGACTCGGTTATCTCACCACACCAATGATCCCTCCAATACAGCCTCTTTCCATAACCCAACCCAGCTTTACCGACGACCCCCTTGGTTCCGACTTCCAAAAGGTACACGACCTGCCCCTTTAACCATCCTTATCAGTGCCCATCATCCTAACCATCACCGTATCAAGGCTGATCGCGAGCCGTCAAGTACGCCCACCTCTCCAGCACGGCAAACCCGCCATGCTTTCCCGCCAGCCGCCAAAACACCGCCCTGCGGCCGTCATCATTCCCAAAACAAGCCCTGTCCTCCTTCCTGGGCACCACCATGCGCATCCGGTCGACCCACTTCCCGATGACCCGGAGCAGGTTGTCCTCCTCGTCCGTCCAGACGCCCGCTATGTCCCACGGGATGCCGTGGCCCTGCGTTACGCTGTCGAGAACGGCGCGCATCTTGCTCTTGTGGACTGTCGTGAGTTTGGCGACGTGCAAGACGTTGTACGGGGGGTTGCCTTCGGATATGAAGTGGCGTATTATCGGAAGCGGATCGACAATGGTACGTATCCCCGGGGGAGGGGAGAAGGGGATTGTGGCTGCTGTAGCCCTGGCGTGGGATGAAGAGGGCATCTTCGTCGTTGCCGCGGGCGGTCTTAGGGGTGCTGGTACGGCGGGGTTATGGCGGCTTCTAGCGGAATCGGAGACGGAGATTATAGTAGGTGCGCTGGCGTGGGATGAAAGGGGTATCTGCGTGCTTGTGATCGGTGGTCGTGGAGGCGGTGGTACGGCAGGGGCGGAGGTCGGGCCCAGCGGGTGCCTTGCCCTTGGAGGTGGACCAAAACTGGAACGCTCGGACCACACGTTCTCGGTTCCTTCCTGGTTCGGTCCAAACCCTGATCCATGAGGGCGTGAGAGTTTCGACAGACGGGCCGCATCTTCAAGCGGAAGCGCCGCCGGGGCTGTTCTCTGGCACCGTAGACCTTAGAGTATGCTTGACAGCTTGCTCGGTTATGTCATATCCAAGTCTCTGAGCCATACCAGGGAGGATAAGCGCGCAACCAGCCGCACTAACCCTAACCTCCGAGCGGATCCGGGTCTTGATGATGCTAGGTCGCGGCGTCGAACTAGACGCGTCACTGCGAGGGAGGTCTCAGTAAGTTTGGAATGTTTTGGTACCGAGATCTCTCGGAATTCTGCGCACTACCGAACTTATAAAGAGTTCTCTTCTCTCGTGTGCGCAACATCCGTGAACTGACTAGCAGGTAACCAACAACCGCGCGGCCTACTTTTACCCAAGGCTCCCAAGCTCAGTACGACCAACTTGCGGTCCCCACCGTCACCATGACTTTTACCAACACCGTTACGAGCCTCGTCACCTATGTATTTGCCAACCTCACACCTTATCACTTGCTGTTCTATTCCACTCTCCTGGGCACCGAGCTCTACCAAACCTTCGTCAACACTAAGATCTGCTACATTGCCTTGCCCCGATCAGCCTTCACGACCCTCCAGAAGCGCCTCTTCCCCATCTACTTCCGCGGCCAGACAATATTGCTTCTGCTTACCGCCGTAACACTCCCTCCGCACGGCCTATTTTCCCTGGTGGAGCACAAAGCGGACTGGATCCCGTTTACCCTGGCGGGCGTCACGGCGGTGCTCAATCTTGTAGTGTACGGGCCAAGGACGCAGAAGGCCATGGTTGACTGCATTCATCAAGGTGATTCTTCCATTCGTCGACTAGGATATGACGTGCAGCAACGGGAACATGCAAGACTGACGTAGTATTTGGTACCAGAGACACGAGATGCAAAGCTCAGACTCAACGGCAACTTAGGCGAGGACACGCCGTCTCCCGAGATGCAGCGTCTTAGAAGGATCTTCTCCAGAGACCATGCAATGTCGATCCACCTGAACTTGATCTCGATTGGGGCAATGGTGTTTTATAGCTGGAGGTTTGCATCTCGGTTGTTTGTTGACTCCGAGTAGGAACGGCCCGGCTACTGCCGTACTTGAGGTATCCGCTAATAAGCACGAAGGATTTCGGAAGTTCAGGGTTTTGGCTAGCAATGAAACAAGTACGTTGTCTTGCTGTATTTTGCTGAGCACTACCGAAGTGAGGTCGGTAGTTCAGATCAAGATTCGAACCTGTCTTGTAGCACTAGACGAAAAGGACTCCCTTGGGTTACCACGGGGGTTCACCGGTCCAAGGCCCTGCAAGCTTCTCCAACATCCCGGTTTTCTCTAGCCGTTGACTATCCCAGAAAACCCAGCCCCAGCATTTCAACTCCCACGGCAGCACACCTCCATACCAGTTGCAATACTTGCCCCGGAACACGACGACCCATCCCAGCGGTTGCTTATCTTCGGCGCCGTCCCCGAAAAGCAACAATAGCTGCCTTAGCTCAGTCACACGCAGTCTGTCTGAGATTCTCACAAGGTCGGGGGGCTCTAATCCGTCTCGCGATGACGGCTGCACTTGGCGCCTGTGCGTCTGCGCTTCCCAAGACAGAGCTCGTGCCAAGGACGTCTCATCAGCCAAGAATGCCACCTCAGACAGTATCATGCGTAGCTTCGCGAAGACATCACTGGCCCGCATAACCCGTAAGTGCCATCTCAAGCCTTTGGAAAGGGCCCCGTTTCTCCAATCCTCTCGAGGAATGCCTAAGGTTTGCCAATATGTTGGTTCCGGGAAGGTACTTTGGTGCGTAGCGACATGCAGCGAGCGTCGGACCGGAAAGAAGTACTGATAATTGCGGTCGCTGAAATCACGCAGTTCCTCTGAGATGGATGGACGATTGGCGTCAGCGGGAGGTGTCTCTCGTCCAAGCCGCCCACCGAGTGCTCTGCAAGCAGAACTGAGCCCATGTCTAACCCTCTCGTGCGCATCGGCCTTGTTCGCCTCTTCGAGAGCCTTGTCCTCTTCTTCGAAACGTTCTCTGACGTCATCGAAAATTCCTTTGTACATCTTATGAAGCAGCGTGTAAATACAGGCAATCTCCTCTAATTCCCACGGCTCGTAGACTTCAAAAAGGTTCATGAGAAGATTTACTGGACCAGCATGCAGAAGCAGGGGATAGTCAGGGGAAGTACCGGAGCCGGCGCCGTGCAGGCTGCACCAGAGCTCAAAGCGATACAAGGCTCGCATGATCTGCCTCGTCTCCAGGGTGCTGATGGGGTCAATCTCTACACCAAGAGGGATCTTCTGCAGGAACATTTGGAAGACGTTCTGCAGCAACGGCCGGATGGTGGAGGAAAAGAAGCTTGATATGCCAGCCAGACCCTCAACACTGCATTCGGGCAATTGCAGGATGGTGTTCGTTGGCAATACCGGGTATCTCTGATGGATGAACGTGACGAAGTGCTCTACGGCATCGTGCCGAGCGAGGTAGTCTAGGTGCTGAAAGTGCAAGGTCGTCTGCACAGCGTAGGCATCGACGAATACACGGTTGCCGAGAGTAGCGTGCAAGATGACGTAGAGGATGCGCTTGCGGTCCGACAAATACGCTTGGTGAAAAATGGACGTCGCTTGCACGGCCGCCTTCAGGTCGACCAGGCTCGGTAGCAGCGATAGGATCTGGGCGAGAAGCTCGAGAGGGAGGCTTGCCAGTGTGCAAGGCTGGCTGGCTGAATTCAGTGAAGCCATGAACGCCGGACACTGGCCATTTCCTTGGCCAGCTTTGCCGTGATAAACAGGCATGGAGCATAGAGTGGGCCGCTTAGGAATATGGTTGAGGGCTTGCGAGGCTTGCTGGGCAGGGGCCGCAGGGGTTTGGGTACCACGGTGCATGAAGGTCGGGCCTGTCTCGGCGGCCCTCTCTTCTGCGTTGCCCTCTTGAATAATTGACTCGGTGTTGGGGCTGCGGGACACGAGCAAACAACGCCCTGATTCTGCCGGCGATGCGCTTGCGCAATGGGAGTTTTGGGACTTCCATGACCGAGCGCGACCTTTCGTTCGATCCAACCGGATAAGAGAGAAAGGTTGAGACGTGATCAGACATACAATCAACAAAAGAATTTTAACATGCGCAGAATTTAATGGCTGAAGAACCGGCAATCGGAACCCGATGAAGGTGCCGTACTTAGATCATCTCGTCATTGACCGTGTGGACGGACCATACGATGACGCGGACCGGCGCTTTTACGATCGGATCGCATGATATGATCGGGACTCGGTGTTGGAACCGGCAGCCAACCGTTGAGGCAGCCTCATGTTATGTTATGTCATTCGATTGTTCCCTGCCTACCTCCTTTTGCGTGCAATATATAGGGTCGATGCCAGCTGTAAATGCTTACTCAATTCCGTGAATCTAAGTCTGAAGAGGAAAAGGAAGACCCTAGTCGGTTGGTGTGACGAAACCACAGGCAGTCCTGCCTCTGAAAGGGTTCGCCGGTCGAAGGTACTGCTGGCCGGACTGTAGGTCTCGGTGAAGCCAAAAGGTTCACAACAATGCTTTGCCGCAATGTCTGCACAATAGGTGGAAGCTATTGCTTGTAATTGCTCACTGGAGAACTCCCAGAGTCCTCCAGAACGAATGACTAGCTACCTATATACTACGGGCTCCCCGTGGATCACTGCTTGTCTCTGGTGATCCCCATACTGGATCATCTTGGATCACTAGTGATCCCTTGTGAGCGTTATACCTAGATCATCGAGCTTCCCTTATGCCAAGCGTGATCCTCTTCTGATTGGTTCGTTCCTGGACCAGAATGATTGGATGCGGGTGCCGCTCGCAGGCCATGCAGGTCGGCCCCACCGGCCTCTGCAGGTTGATTCATGACAGTTGGGCCTAGAATTATAGGAAGATATTCCTCCCCGGTGGGTCATGTGACCTAGGCCTTACAACGTAGTTTCGCTAACGAGAGGTCGTAAGTTCGAATCCCACCTAGGACGACCACCTCGACCGTGATATATATATAGAGCTTGCTAATAGGGGCTATATTATATATATATAGCATGGAATACCCAAGTCTAGGGACAACCAACTAGGCTAGCCGACGAAGGCCTACCAACAGTCCTCTTCATGAACCAGAGCCTATAGAAACACCAAGGCCTTACAAAGGCTAAGAGCTCCCTACTAGTACAGGCTCATATAGGGGCTATAGGCCTACGGGACTTCCTTTTCAAACAAAAGGCCCGTAACTAGCCTACCGCCTATTGCGAATGCGGAGAAGCCAGAGAGACAGTAGAGCATCTTGTGATTTGGTGCTCTATACCACCTATACCAAGAACTTGGCCTAGGCAACTAATACGCACCCACCGGGACCTTAGCCTTGTTTTATAGGGCCTAGGCTACCGGAACCGAAGACTTCTGAAGAAGGTACTGGGTTGGCTAATAGACTCGGGCCGGCTAGGGGAATATAAGCTCGCTCGGAACCTCGATGAGGAACTGAAAGCTAGAGAGCCTGGCTAGCTACATGTTACGAATTAAGCCAACAGGACAGCTTATGACGAAACCGCAGGCAGTCCTACCTCTGAAAGGGTTCGCCGGTCGAAGGTAACTGCTGGTCGGACTATAGGTCTCGGTGAAGCCAAAAGGTTCATAACAATGCAAGTCGCAATGTCTGCATAGTAATATAGGGCTACCTTACTGCTTGTATTGCTTACTGGAGAACTCCTAGAGTCCTCTAGAACGAGTGACTATATACTAGCTATCTTCTTGGGTGCTCAGTGCTTCGATTCGGGTGAGCACCTAGGTGCTCATCGTAATATGCCCCTAATCACTCTGATTGCTTATATCCTGCAGAGTGCTTAGCGATATTGGCACCTTAGCACCTTTGCCTATCCCTGACTAGTCCGCCTAGTTGTCCAAATGATTGGCTCGGGACGTCCCTACATCCCTATATATAGCCGTCTGCCCTATAGCCTGCCGTTGGTTAATTCGTAATACGATACCCCTCCTCTAGGGTCGACGCCCCGACGACTAAGTTCCTAAAATAACCAATAGTCCTGGCTATCCTCCTTGTATTTTACCCTAGTAGGTTCTTCCCTTTTATATCGTTATTATTATACCTGACCGTATAGAGAAAAAGAAACGAACAAGTTCTGACTGTTATCGTAATTAGGTATGCTTCCTTATACGGACCGGTATTATTATACCTTCTTATATCTATTGCCACGAGAAGAAACTAGAGTACGTTGCTTATAAGTATTATAAACGTTGCCTTCCTTATATCAAGGTAGGTTGTTCCAACTGTGATATCTATAGCGTAGATTATAAGTCTACTGCTTTTCTTTGCTCCTATACTTGCTGACTTCCGTAGTATATCCTTTTATTAAGGAAAAGGAGCGTCTTAATGCCGAGCGTCGGGCTACGATTAGCAAATTGCTTCGTTTAGAGCAACAGTCGCGGGCATTAGAGGAGAGAGCTTGTACGGCCTTCCGTCGGGAGTCTCGTTTATTGGACGAGGAGGAGAAGGAGGAATCGAAGCAGGCTTCCTTGGCCGCTCTACCTTTGGATGGTACGGCAGCAGTGTCCCTAGATACTGCCGCTTCGCCTTCTTTGTCGGATTTCCTTGCTCCTGGTCCTGCTTTATCGGATCACTTGGATCCCAACTGGTTGTCGGACGTTCCTATAGACTAGAGTATTGTTGGGAGAGGTCCCTTGTTTCTGGCTCTATAGGGTTCTAGTGGTAGAAGCCCTCCAGTTTCTCAAGGTAGTAGGGGTTTGTAGCCGATGGTGGCTAGGTCTTGGTCGCGCCTGCTATATGGGTGTTGTCTATAGTATTGCTGCCTATAGCCGTTCTTTCCTGCCCGAGGTTCTTAATCTAATTCTTGCTGCCTGTTTTCCTACAAATGAAATAGCTTAGTGGTATAGCTTGGTCATTATACCCGTATGATTGCTCTAGGAGACTGTAGGTTCGAATCCTACCTGCGCCTTGTCTCTATATGAGTAGCTTTACCGCAGGGTAAGGCGACTTATACGGGGATTTTTACGCCTTCCTCCTAGCCGGTCTAGGTTCTGCCGGTAGAATTCTCTTAGTTTTTCTATGCAGTTAAGGTGTTCTGCTGGCTCCTATAAGTTGTCTTCTAGTCCGAAGTCGAGCTATCTAATCAAGTATTCTAGCCTTCTATTGGCTATTTGCAAGTCTAAGATTTCCTTAACGTCCTATTCTTCTTTTTTATCCTCGGCTTCGATATCCTTTATAAGCCGTATGTTCTTAGGTGCTAGTTCGAGGAGCGAGATATAGAAGACATTAATATATAGCTTTATCGTTAATAGTAACGAAAGTCGATAGTTAGATATCGAAATCCTTGTATCGATTTTAAATGGTCTAATTTTCCTAAAGTCGAGTTTTTGGCTTGGCCGTTTCGTTTTTAGATTTCGGGAAATGAAATAGACTATATCTCCTCTCTTAAGGCAAGGTCCCTCGAGCCGATATTTATCGTAATACTCTTTTATCCTAAGTCTGACGAACTCGAGTTCTTCCTTTAGTATTATATATAGCGCATATATTTTTTCTGCTTTGACCTTTGCCCTAGGTACTATAATATCTAGTCCCTGGTACAAATCTGCTTTGTAACTAAAGTTCGCGAAGAATAGAGTAACCTTTATTATCTCTATTGGTATAGTGTTATATATAAGCTATGCCGCTAGCAGTAGATCAACCTAGTCGTTCTATTGGAAGTTGACGAATGTTCTAAGATATTGTTCGACGATCTAGTTGAGCCTTTCTATCTGGCTATCTATCTATAGGTAGTATACTATTGAAAGCTTGCTCTTCGTACCTAAACGCTTTATAAGCGCTTGCTAAAACTTTAATACGAATTTAGTATCTCGGTCTATAATCTATTCTTCTGGCCACCTATGAACTGCTACGATATGCCGATAGATCATATCCGCAAGTTGCTCTGCTAACTATAATTCTTTATATAGGAAGAAGTAGCTCTATTTAGTAAGTCGGTCAACCACCGTAAGGATACTATCATACTTCGTTCCGGTAGTCGAGTCCTTTAAAGGCGGTAGTTTAGTAATAAAGTCTATCGTCACCGAACTCTATAGTCGTTCTACAACTGGCAATGGCTCCAAAAGCCCGTATAGTTTATGCCGTACCGACTTGCTTCGATTGCAGAGGTCATATTTCTATACAATAGTCTTGACTCTAGTCCTAAGTCCTAGGAAGTTATAGTATTGCCGAACCTTGGCGACTATTTTAACGATTCCCATATGTCCTCCGAGTTTCGACTTATAGATTATCTTAATTAATTCCGTTTAATCCTATAGTGCAATATAGGCCTTGCTATTATACTATAATGCTCTATCTCTCTAAGAGATGCCTGCCTTCTCGTCTATATCGTTCTGCTTCCGGTCTTGGAAGTCTTTTCCTAGCCGTTCTTCCCTAAAGACTATATAATATTCTTCAAACGGTTATAGAGGTTGCGTGCCAGGATCTTCGTCCTATTATAGAAGCGTATTGTTATCGAGATCTTCTATCGGTTGGGGAGCGTACTATAGGGAACTATCTGGCTATTGTTAAAGTAATAGTAGCAAGGCTTCTAGTTAGCTATTCTTGAAGTGATCTGGCCTCCTGCTTAATATATCTGCCTATGCATTTTCTAAGCCTTTCTTATAGTTGATTTTGAAGTTGAACTCTGAAAGAAATTCTGCCTATCGAGTCTGTCGTCCATTTAATACCTTGGTGGTA